AATAGTGTGAACCTTGATCAGGTAGTAACTGAAGCAACTCACTTTACCGATCACAGTGAAACCTTAATAGACATAATTTGTAGTGATATTAAGACAACCAAAGTCACAGTGAGACAAATTCCAGACCTTGGTAGGCATGCAATGTTGACTGCCGAATTTAAGTTAAAAAAAGAAAAGCCTTGTCCTAAATGGGTGCAGTATAGGCCCTCTGAAGGACATAATCATAGAGCAACTACAGAAGGATTTGTCCGCTATTGACTGGAGCTACTTTGTAGGGGATGTGAATAGTCTAGTTGATAGTTTTACAGCTTGTGTGCTAAATCTGTTTGATCTCCACGGCCCAGTCAACTCGCGTAAATTTAAACACCCTCCTCATCCCTGGATCACGGGTACAATAAAATCTATGATTCGCATTAGGGATAATTACCATAAAGACTTTAAAATGAATAAAACAGAGTCACTTAATGCCTGTTACCTTACAATGAAGCTAATAGTGGTTGTTGCCATAGAAAATGAAAAAAAAATTACTATGACTGCCACATTAATAGTAATTTGAGTAAATCTAAGAAATTATGGAGTAATTTTAAAAGCACTGTGCTACCAAACACAAAGGACAGTAACAGTCTTCCTCAGTGGGTTGATAACCCAGATACTTTGAATGCATTCATCCTGGATGCACCTGGAGACAACAGCATCTTACAGTACGTAAAGTGTCGTTTTTCGACAGGTACCTAACCAATGTATGTTAATTTAACACATTTTAAGCAAATTTTGTTCTAATACTTACTATAAACTGATGTAATAGAAAATATTTGTTATATTCAAATCCATGGTCGGTAATATAGCTGTCTCTTTTCTCCGCGGTCCGTACCTGCTATATTGCTAACAGCGCATTCAGAATTGCGCGTAGAGTCAAAGTATTTAATATCATTGCACTGAGCACATAGGTTTTACGTGTTTTGAAGCTGATTTATTAAGGGACGCGAGCTGAGATACATTTGAGAAATAGGTATTTGAAAAAACTATTGCTGTCACGCATTGGCAAATACCATGTGATAGGGACAACAGTAGTTAACGCTGAAAATTGCATATAAAAATTGCAAAATTCGACGATTACCTCCTCGAAAATTAGATATGAAAAAGAAATTGTACACAAAGGATAATAAGTAGTTATACTATGCCTCTATAGTTTGACGACCTCCGTGGCCGAGTGGTTTATCCGCCGGGTTTCATGGTGTCGCCGACTCGAGAGGTCCCGGGTTCGAATCCCGGTGGGGGCAGATGTTTGTGTGATGAATACGTGCATTTGTACTCCATTCATGGATGTTTAATATGTATTTCTATATAAATATACTTATATATGTACAGTATATGTATTCTATCCGTTATCCTAGTATCCCATAACAATAGCCTTACAGTGCTTACTGGGGCTGGTGTGTGTGTGTTGGAAATATTTATTTATTATTTTCCTTTTTTTGTAAATGCCACAATTCACTCTCCTTAAATTTGCCACAAACCTCCACACTAGACGTCTTTAGTGGTGTTAAAAATTAGTTTATTTTTGGCCTATTTCACTGGCTTCTAGTTTCTTTGAAACACAAGTTATCAAAAAAAGGAAGACATATGAGCATAGAATAAGTAAAATATTTCATGTATGAAAATAATTTTTTTATTTATAAAAATCAGGGAGGCATCATCATCATCATCGTCAGAAAAATATTGCCAGCCTCCCGTCTAAACATCTTTTACGTGTGTTTTTAAAAATATGTTATTATTGGTCAACCTTAATTATATTTTTGCCGTTTGCCGTTTTTACCGTTGAAACTTACAACACTAAGGCCCGTATTACAGAATGACAACTAAGTGTTGATCTTTACTTGAGTACAGTTAGAAAGGGATGTCGCTATGTGCTATAAATAGCGACATCTCTTTCTAACTATGCTCAAGACTAGATCAATCACTGAGAATCTTTCTATAATACGGGCCTAAGTGGGCCGATAGATGTACTTATATAATAACTTAATTAACTAATAACAAAATGTTAAGTGATAACAAATTAACAACGATTAATTAAGTCTCACCTATTTATAAACAACTAGCTCGTTATCCAATAGCCATTCATTCCATTTAGGCTTTTGTAAGTACCATACCATACATAACAAAGCTACACCATCGGTTCGCAAAGCTACCGCGCGGGAGACCTTGAACTTAACCGAACCGGAAAGGAACTTGGCAAGGGCTGCCATCAGTGTCAATAAGTATTCAATATGCTCTCTGCTGTGATATTCATTATTACTTATTACCAAATGTTTTTACTTTTATTAGGGTGCCGTACCCGAAGGGTAAAAATGAAACCTTATAATTGTTATCACTATGTCGTCTGTCTGTCTGTATGTCATGGGTCTCTAGATCGGAAACGGAATGAGTTATAGAACTGAAATTTTGACATTTTAGAAAGAATGAATTCAGTTTAATTATTTTTCATGGGTGATCTTATATATGAAAAAGTCGCATGATGCATCAATCTCTCGAACTCGTTGATTAATTTTTTTTTTCAATAACAAAAACTGGGGCCGTTAGATTTTTCATTTTTAGACCGTTTTTTTTACGGGGCCTTTGCCTTTCTCAAAATCTAAACTAATTAAAAATGTGAAATTTTGGTATATGCTGTATTAAAACAACAAAAATTGTAAACGCCGATTCATACTGAACTTCGTAAGTAATGTAGATAACAAACAAATAATTTTCGCGGTTTGTCGTACAGACCCCTTCGTGAACAAGTCCGACTCGCATTTGGCCTGTTTTTTTTTATTATCTCGCAAAAGTTTTCCTCATAATATAAAAAAAATGTATATTTATATACATAATACAAAAATTATTGTCAGTAATCTAAAAATAACCATGGAGTAATTAGTTGCGCAGTGTTTTGTTTACAACAAATACCTACTGAATAAATTATATCAGCTTACATTATACCATGTTTAGTAATACGAGCCTTAGAATATTTTTAATCTAAGTCATCATCATCATCAGCCTATTAATGTCCCCACTGCTGGGGCACAGGCCTTCCCGGTGGATGGAATAGGGAGATTGGGCCATGACCCACCACGCGGGCCAGTGCGGATTGGTGGGTGCTAACGACTGCAGATGCAGCCGGGACCAACGGCTTAACGTGCCTTCCGAAGCACGAAGGAGCTCGAGATAGTAATTTTTGGTCACCCATCCAATGACCGACCACTGCGAAAGTTGCTTAAGTTCAAAGATCGCAGCCGAACGCGCCAACCAGTTGCGCTATCGAGCTCCTCAAGTCTAATCTAAGTACTTACTTCAAATAAAACAAGGAGGGAGTTCTTTAAACGTCCTTTAGGTATTTACGTTTTTGTTAAAGCACAAGATAAATGGAAAAACAATCATCTTGACGAACTCGAATAAGTATGTAATGTAGTAAAGGTGTGTGTTTACAGACTGAAAATTGTACCTTTTTCATTTGGTACACAGATCGCCGAATGCCGATAGGAAACAAATTGATCTTCAACAATCATACAATTCCCGCCGAAGTACAAAGCGACAATCACGTCCTTGGGGACGTTCATTGGACGTAAACAATGATTGAGGGCAAAGTTCAACAACTAAGGAGGAGCACGACAACGATAACGCCGTGTTTACGTGTCGATGAAATGGTCAAGTTGTTCCCTACAGAAATGTAAATGGAACTATAAGTTCCATTTATATTTTATAACTTTCTATATATCTTATTATCTAAAAAAAAATGAATCGCTGAAATGTATGAACGTGCATAACTTCCGAACTTCTGCACAAAATTGGATAATTCTTTTGAATGTACAGACTTAATGTACAGAATGTACAGATGAAAAAATATTTCGCCGGACAACTAGTATCAAATACATATTCATCATCTACTTTATGAAATACTTTAAGTTTAATTCTCTTTTTTCTTCTTCTATCTTCCATGAAAATAAAAGCGAAACACCGAAATGTATGTCCAGGCCGGCACAACTTCCCAACAAACAAGAGCACTAAATCGAATAATTATTTTAATTTTCGAGGTTTGTATATAAGAAAGAAGACCTTAAATTTTGCCCAATTTTGTACTTTGGTACAAATCATCCCCAGAAACATTATACTTAAAAAGGCTCAGTCATCAAAATCTCAATATATTCATTAAAAATAGCTGAATCTCTGAATTAAAATAGAGAATCTGCGTATGAAGAAACGATATAAATTAGACGCAATTTATCATTGACTGACAGATGGCAGCTAATACTATTGGTTTAACTTCATTTCCTTGATTTTGATCGGCTGTATCAAATATCTCGTGATAATCGTAGCTAATTGTTATTAACACATTTACCGTAATATATATATGTATAGCCATTCATTTAAATATTTAAACGGCATTTTTATGTGGTACAAGTGTATAATAAACTCCATTTATTTTTTTGATGAATTCGGCTTATTTTTCTACACATATTCGCATGATAATAATTGAGGTACAAAATTGGGCAGAGTTGTATGGAGAGAAGAATGGGTCGCTTAAAAACTCAAAAAAAAAGAAAAAATGTGGTGATAGTTGCGTAGTCCACCACGTCACCTAGTACTCAATAAAAAAACTTATATAGTTTTTCAAGTAAAAATAGATAAAGACAGAGTTATTTATGAAAATATCCTATATGTGTGATAAAAACAACAGCTGAAATAACCACCAAAATAATTTGCAATAACAATATATAACATTTAAAAGTATGGAAAGTGCAGAAAAATAATAAGTCTTAATAAAATACAACGTAGCTGGCCTTGACTTTAAAAACGGTAAATCTTTTTAATATCATTTGTCTAGATTTATTTTCACTAAATACAATGTAGAATAAATTTACTTTCAATAGGTGATTCCCAGAGATTCGAAAGGCTAATAAAGAATGTAATTTATCGACAGCCATGTTGTACATTTAAAGGTGCATCCCTAGTGTATCACGTTGATAGTATACCAGCCGGTTACCTAAATTAATGCATTAACTTGTTGAACGCGCTAGTGACTGCACAACTTAAGTGTTGAGAATACAGTTTTTTTTTTAATTAAATATTAACAGTACAGCTACGAAATATGCCGGTTGTCGAGTGATGGTGACAGTGTTAGTTTTTTTTTTCAAGTTTTGAAATCCTGAACGAACTTTTTGCAATGGCAAAATCAGCGATACTCCTGCGCCAATCTTTGTAAGTTTTAGTTTAAATTTATTTCTGTATGCATGTTACAAACAGGTTTTATTTTTTATGAATGAAAAACTTTTTCTTTTTGTGTCACTTTCTATAATCTTAATCTATTCTTTAGCTAATGACTTAAGATGACTCTGTAAGAACGAACTCACTTTTCACCGCGGGACACCGGCGAGGTGTAATTTGAAAGGAAACGGTTCAAAAGTGGTAGTCGGTTTCCGGCACGAATGAAACATATCATTTGAAAGCTTATTTTATGTAATATTTATTTATTTAATGGGTGTACTCACAGCTAAACATATAAAACATTATAAAATAAAATAATACTTATTCTAAAACATATATGCAAGCCTTTACAAGCACACACAACATTCACTTGAGTAAAGTGCAATGTAATTGATAATCAATAATAATAAATATAATCAATAAATAGTGTAACAAATAATCAATGTTTACTTTAAAATTAATAATTTTATAATGTAATGTCAAAATAGACACATAAAATAATAATGATAATAACGCGAAATTAATGAGAATAACATAACATAAATATTTATCATTAATTTAAATCTTAGATTAATTTTCAATCGTTTTTGAAAATATAATAATTTCGTAAGGATCTTGGCCACCCTTGTCATTAGTAACTTCATATTTTTAGTCTTTAAAATGTCAATCAGTCCAGCCATGCTCGATATTCGTAAAATCGTAGTGAAATTATTATTATACCAATTTTTATTGATTTTTCCTATAATTCAATACGCACAAAATACCTTATAACATAACATATTGAACATATTATATTTGATGCTTTGGCAACAAACATTTCATAAATGAACTTGCCAATTGCCAATCAATAACTATAATATTTTAAAATATAATAATTAAATAAAACTAGTTTTAACGGGTTAATGCACGAAACTTTATCTATTTATTGACGTTTCGCAGCCTTTTCAGGTCTGCATCGTCAGAAAACTGATTTTTTATTTAATTTTGTCATCACATCACATTTAATGAGAGATGTGCGTGAAAACCTAAGAAAGAAATATATAATAATTATTTAAAAAAAATGTTACAATAAATTCTAGTTATTTGTCAAACGATTAACAATTAAATGCACTACATGCATATTATAAAAATTTGGAGTCTGCAGGAGACTGACTACCCTTCATACAAATTTTAACCGTATCTTTTCTTTGATTTTCGTGTTATAATTTTAAAGCACACCGCGGATTCCGAGGTAAATAGTGAGATTCATCATCATCATCATCATCATCAGCCTATTAATGTCCCCACTGCTGGGGCACAGGCCTTCCCTATGGATGGAATAGGGAGATAGGGCCATGACATGACCCACCACGCGGGCCCAATGCGGATGGACGGGTGCTAGCGACTGCAGATGCAGCCGGGACCAACGGCTTAACATGACTTCCGAAGCACGGAGGAACTCGAGATAGAAGATTTTTGGTCACCCATCCAATGACCGACCACTGCGAAAGTTGCTTAAATTCAACGATCGCAGCCGAACGCGCTAACCACTTGCGCCATCCAGGTCCTCAAAAAAGTGAGCTTATTCTTACAGAACATACTGCCAGCGTAGGTCTTCTGTAATCCCACAATCCCACTTACGACCTTATTTATTCGAATTTCTGACAAATATGTAATACTGGCTGCTTCTACACACAAAGCGACATTTTACCGTGTTATGCCGTAGGTAATGCATATCTCACTAATGTCTAAAATGACAGCTACCGAAATCGGAAGTGGGATTTTATTTTACGAAATCTCTTATTTTATGTTCTCGTTTATTATCCTATAAAATATGTTTATAACTATATTACGGCTTTAGGTAGATCATCGTTAGCAGTTTGAATTTCACCAAAGTACATACTACAAGTAGTATACAGACAGAGACTGACATAATAACAGTAGATACTTAAGAATACACTAATGAGAATTTGAGCGATTTAAGTATGGTGATATTGACAATAAAATAATGCAGGTTATTAAAAAAAACATAAAGAAAAATATACAAAAAATAAGTTATTCCGCTAATAAACTATGCTCCGTCTATGTACGCTTAGCCAAAGTAAATTGCAAATATTTAAAAAAGCTGGAAACCAACATGCGATTAGATGAATGGATGGATGCAGGGATGAATATCTCAGACATTCTAGTGATTAACAATCCTTTCTCTGTGACTCATGACCCCGAGCTGGGTCCATCTGTACCCACTTCACAATCTGTACCCACTGTGACTTGAACACGACTATATGAGCCCCCCCCGGCGCCAAAGCTGGATCCCCCTTGTAAGTAACCGCCATCTTTCAGATGATCACAGTAAAATAACAACATTAAAAGGTGGTGTTGTGTTCCTGTCGATGGATTAAGTTCCAGAGCTGGGGGCTCCACGGGATAGGGGAATGGGTCAGAGAAGGCAAGCGGCGCGAGTGATATTTTTGGTGTCGCAGGGTTTTTAATGTCGTTGATCGCAAGCATCTCAGTATATAGGCTATAGTGGCCGCTTACCATCTGCGGCGGGCCATATGCTTGTTAGCCACCCATTTAACATAAAAAAAACCTATAAGTCACGACATAAAACTCTAGCGCTGACCGTTATTGCGCAAAAGTAAAAATTAAGATGTCTTGGGTTCTCCACGCATTCCTGAGATAAAGAGTCTTGAAAGACAGGCAGATAAACGGACGTATTTTTTTTATTAGGTAATTTAGAATATTGATTTTTACACAGCTTCAATTTAACGTAATTGCGTGAATTTTTTAACCTATTTATAGCAATGTAACACTTTCTCTCGTTACTTTGATCAAGCTTCAGGTGAACGTCGCCTAAACGAAATAATCTATTTATTTATGCTTTATATTCAATGACCTCTAATATGTTATTATAATAATATTGTATGCTCGAAGGGTAGGAAAAGTGTTTAACAGGGATGTAACGGAGGTAAATTTATCGGAACCGAAGTCGGGAGTCGGAGTTTTTAAATTTGATTTATCGGAGTCGGAGCCGGAGTCGGAGGCAAAGTCGGGGTCAGCGGCAGAGTCAGCAGTGGTCATAAGAGAGATATTTTTCATTTGAGAACAAAGAAAAACATCATTCAATCAACCTTTTTTCATTTTAATTATAAAATAACCTTTTCACATTTTTTTTCTTATTATTAACACAGACTCCCAACGCGACGGGTATGAACCAGTTCGTAACGGTGGACGCAGGCCGCCGTCGCTAATTGCTAAGCTTCGACCTCCGATTCAAACCTCCGGTTTAAAAGTTTCGGAGCCGAAATCGGAACCGAAGGTGCAATAATAATCGGAAGTTCCGCCTTATCGGAATCGGAGTCGAAGCTCCGTAACATCCCTGGTGTTTAAATTGAAATATAATAACTGCTGCGCCAACTTCTCGTCTGGCCTCCATTCAACATCAGATGGAGAGCAAGTAGAGAGGGTGGAATCAATTGTCAAACTATATTGATATGCTTGAATGTGAAAAATTTAAAACAATAAGCTGTTTTAAGTTTTACTTTTCATAGTTTTACACACATTCGCAATCATTCTACACCCAGCGTAGCATCATCGTTGAAATAATAAAGGAGATCACACCCAACATAACCAGGAGTTTATACAAAACAATTGACAACATCGCGTAGCTATCGTAGGGCTGCCATATTTTGGTAAGGTATCATCGGGACGCTTTGGCTGGCTGAAATGGCGAGTAAGAAAAAAAAACAAATTTTAGGGCAAGGCAAGACAAATATTTATTTTCTTATTACATAACTTAGGAATTAGCAGAAGAAGTACTCGGCATGTTATATTTTTCCGAGGACTTAACTTTTTTTAGCAAGGCTATATTGCCTTTAACATAATGGTAGAACTCAATGCATGTCATATTATAGTTTATCTGACACTGTAATATTGACTCCACTGTTTTCGGCAGCAGAGAATTCCTTTCATCAGTCCACTGAGCCGTCATTAAAGAAAACACCCTTTCCACTGTAGCGTTGTGGGCTGGAATTGCAAATAAATACTGGCATAGTTTAAGCATTTGGCACTTTCTTTCGGGATTTTCGGTTTTGTTCAAAAAGTACATCCATTTCTCTTCCAGAGACTTCTTCGACTTCCATTCTTCAGATGCCCGTTCAGACTCCAAAAAGGTTTTCAGATACGTATATTCTTCATAGCATCTGTCACCCAAAATCTCCACACCATGTTCAGTAAGATATAGAATTGTGTCTTCAATCTTCGCCCATTCTGGGATTTCAGTTAGCGTCATCCAATTGAAAATTTCATATTTATTAAATGAAACAGACCACTTTTTCAGATAATCTATTGCTGTATTATAAAACAGTACCGTCTCCTCCTCAAATTTAGAAATCAATATTCCTGTTTCAGGTGTTGGATTTTCCCTTTTAAGTTTATTCAATTCTATTTTAGTTTGCATGCCAATAAACTTGTCAGCTTTTCTTTCAAGCAGTTGTTTTTGTGTTTCATCTAAGATGTTTTTTATTTCAATTATACTTCTGTGATTCGCCCTTCGAGATTACATTGACACACTTGTAGTAGCACGCATTATGTGCTGCCATCGTACACAATTTTAGAGCAACATTAACCTTTGCCTAAAAAATATAACAAAAAAAATATAAAATATGCGTTCGCACTGGGGTTAACTCCACATATTCATACACGTTTTGTGTCGCGGCCATCGTGCACGTAATTTTGCGTTTGCGTTTAATTTATTTAACTTTTATGTAATAATGTTACTTATTTTTTTATATTTAAAGTGCGAAAAAAGTGTATACAGGACTTTAAATATCTGAATATTAAAGATTTGCGCAAGGTGGAAAATTAAAACCAAAAAGAAGTTTGTTGGATTCACACTCAGAGGTACTTACATTACATAAATCTTTAAAAATACAAAGTTCAAGGTGAAATTAAACAATACCAAGTACCTAGTTGCTATAATCCGATGGAATCATCATCTTCCAAAAATCTAT